CACCGCGGAGGACCCTCGGCCGCAGCCGCCGTCCCTCTGCAGCCGCGCTGCCGCCGCGGCTGGCCCATGGGCACTGGTAGCAGTTGAGAGCGGGCGGAGAGGACGCTATCTGGAGGCTGTTACGGTTGTGGTGGCAGCAGCACCGACGTGCGACAGGGGCTCCTTGGTCCCTCCTCAGACAAATGGGCTCCTGTCATGGAGCCTGGGCAGCGGCAGCGCAGCAACCTGGGCTTGGGCAGCAGCACTTCCCCAAGGCGGGAGCCGCGGCTGCCTTCCTGTCTTTGGACAACCCGACCTTTTCCTTTTTGCATTTTGCCTGCAATACCCGTGTCATCAATGCCCTCTATTAATCCCCCTGACAGTGAGATGATTAGAAACAAGTAAGAGTGACAGGTGGCAATCGGAGCTCTGAAATACAGTGGGGATTTGAGGGCAGGGTTAGGTTTTCAATAGAGTGGTCAGGAAGCCCTCCCTACGAATGTGATATTTGAAGAAAGACCCACACGAAGCGAAGGACAGAGATGTGCAAATATCCTGGGGAAGGGCACTCCCGGCAGCGGGAACAGCTAGTGCAACGGCCCTGAGGCAGGAGCTTTGTGGTGAGTTCCCTGAACATCACAGAGACCTGGGTGGCTGAAGCCACATGAGAGTGGCCGGCAATAAGGCAGAGAGGGGACACGAGGACAGAGTGAGTAGACCAGTGCTATCCAAGAGAAGTTTCTGTGATGAAGGAAATGTCCTGTACTTGCACCAGTAAGGCAACCACGGGCCACGTGTGGCTCTTGAGCACCTAGAATGTGGCTGGAACGACTGTAGAAATGGATGTTCAATGTTATTTAACTTTAGTTACATTTCAATTTAAATTGTCCCAGTTGGCCATTATACCCTATTGGACAGAACAGGTCTAACCACTATAAGGACTTTGGCTTTCCTATTAGTGACATAGGAAGCCATTAGAGGGCTTGAAGAAGGGAGTGATTGGCTCGGACTTAACTTCTTAGTCAAACCAAGTCATAAGACCAGCCCAGATTCAAGCAGAGAAAGAGACTCCACCTCTTGCTGGGAGAAGTACCAGGCACAGACAGGGAGGGGAAGAATTGATGGCCACTTTGGAGACAGTTCTCCACGGTGCGCCCTCTGGCGGCCGCTGGCGGAGACGAGACCGGAGGCCGGTTGATCCGCTCCAGAATCCACACAACTTTCTCTGCCCTCAGACCCCAGAGTGAGCTCCGATGTGGGCTGGACACTTTGGTGACCTGCAGATGGCTGCAAGAATATTGATTATTTTTAAGGCAAGGAGGGTTTAAATGGTGCTTGCAGGGCCAGTCCCCAAATTCAGCCCTTAGGAGCCTCTGGGGTTGTGGTTCTAGACTCAGCAAGATTTTCAAGGCGGTCACCACAGGAAACCAGGGTTTTCCCTCCAGATCATTGTTTATCTGGAACGTCCCAGCCACCCCTCGCTGTCACCAAACAGAAAAACAACAGAACACAGACGCGGAGAGGAGAGAGCTTGCTTGGCTATCCCAGGACAGCAACAGGTTGAGGGTGGTCTCCGTCCCCTTTGGGGAGGAAAGTCCCAGGAGGGAACGGGTTGACAAGAAATGTAGAGCCAGTGCGGTAGGGAGAGGGGTATTTTGCAGCGGGGCTACCGCTCAGCACTCCACCCCACCCACGTGTTGCCCCTTACTGCTTTGGGCTGGCTACTAATTTCTCCGTACCTCCATTTACTTCCCTGAAAATGGAGATCATTAGTGTCATCAGGAAGATTGAGAGAGGCTGTAGCGTACTCGTGCCCAGCGAACCCCCCGCAGCACTCAGCAAGTCCTATTGAGATCACTAATCAGCGGCCATTCACTTCCAAATCACCCACACCTGAACATGACCGCGATAGGGAGGTTGTATAGAGACCACTGCGAGCCCCAAGGCGGTGTATGGTCCCCATCCCGGCGCCTCAGGCCCCTAGTGATCTGCTCCAGCTCAACCCGGCAGCTCCCCTGGTTCTCACTCCTCCACACTCACTTTCCCTCTTCCCCACCACCAGAGTTTGGGGGGACAGCAAGGAAGGGGTCTGGTCACAGACTCCAGAGTCACATGGACATGACTTGTGGCAAGCCATGTAATCGGAAAAAAAAAATCTGACTCCACATGAGATCTGTTCCTTTGACTTTACCCCTGTGCTCTGTTTCCCGTTGAGTCAAGCTGGTTCTGCACCTTTTGTAAAAGGATATTGCCTATAGCCTGAAATACACAGGATTGCCCATTCTTAAGGCTCTGATCTTTAAGGGTATAACACTTTTCCATTCATATAATGATAAAACGTTGCAGAATAGAAAATAATATTTGTCTTGTTGGAGGTTTTCGGGAACACCATGACCTGACTTACGTGGACAGTTACAAGAACAAAGGATTCCAACACCAAGAAGTTTGCAAAAACCAAACCCTTCCCCTTCGTAGTACAAAAGAAGCCTGAATTCCGACTGGAGGAAGACGGTTCTCCAGAATGCTAGTCTGTCATCTTCTCTGTCTGCCGGCTTTCTGAATAAAGTTGTATTCCTTGCCCCAACACCTCATCTCCCGATTTATTGGCCTGTCGTGCAGCGAGCAGAACGAGTTTGGACTCAGTAACACCACCTCCCCTGAGTTCAGATTCCAGCTCTGTGTGACCCTGAGCAAGTCACCTACCCTCTCTGAATCTGTTTCCCCATCTGTAAAACGTGCACAACAGTGTCTAAACTTGAGTTTAAACAGAGACCATGTAGCAAGAGATATACAAATCATAGTTATTGTCGTTGTTGCTGTCAGTATTAAACCCCAGCTCCCCAACTTTAGAGCTGAATCAACCTGAGCAAGTTATTTTGTCCCGCGCACGTGAGCGCCTAGGAAGCGCCTTCACAAGCGCGTCTTTAAGTAGAGGTCCTGGCGCGCCCCCTGGTGGTCAACGTGGGCGCCGCAGCTTGCGCCATCCCGCACCCGCTCCAGGTCACCGCAGCGCCACAGAACTTCGATTACTGTGCACAGAACCCCGACTCTTCCTTCCCCACCCCGTTCTGGTACATCCCTGAGAGGGGGGAGAATTTTAAGGGAGGGGGGTTCCAGGGCATCAGATCGCTCTCCCCCACAGGACTAAAGAGGCTGGTGCTGGAGGTTTGCTAGGTTCAAGGTGAGAATGGCATGAGGCTCGTGTCAGCCTGTGTCACAATCACACTAACACACGCTAACTCACACAAAACCAGACTCACACGGAAACCTACACACTCACCAAACACTTGCACATGCTCAAACACACACACAGACTGACATTTGACACACACGTGGGCTGAGCCATTCTAGTCCCACCTACACACACACAAACACAATTTGTACATGTCCAGAGACATGCACAGAATCCATTCGTCGACCCCCCGAGACTCACCCCACCTACACCCACAGAGACATACACCCCAGACATGTGTCCAGAGACCCAGTGATCCCTACCCTTCTACCACTCCATCTCCACTGTGGGAGCCAATAGGTTGCTTCTGCCCTTGCAGGGACATAGCCCACGCAACGTGACCCTCCAAATTCTCCTTCAGGCCCACCAGGGCCAACCCAAACCTACCCTGGGGTGCAGGGATATTGGACCCCATGGGCTGAAGAGGTGCCAACACCAACCTGAGCTCTCTGTGGGGACACTGGCCTGAAGACCTGGACCAGGTCCCTAGGTGCAGGTCTGGGAGCCCCCATCAGATTACTAGACTGGGGACGACTTCGAGGGCGAGAGGGGGACTCCTCCCTCAAACTAGGAACAGAGTGAGGCCTGGGCCCTGGAGCCTCCCTCCTGCTTTCCCCATGCCAGC